CTTTTTTTACACATTACTCTAAGCGTTCTTATGGGTTATTTATTTATTTGTAAACTTTACTTATTGATGTACATCTTACAACACCAACAGTGGTAATAACAAGTGAGAGGGTGCCATTAATGCACAAACTAATAATCACAGAATTTACTAAAAACTAACGTAGAAATAACTTTGAAAGTGGTGTAATGTGCTTATCAATCATACTTACTTTTCTGACCGCAGTCAAAGATTATAAAGGATCTTTATTGTCACGTTCTGGTTCAAAAGAGTTTATCAGGGAAGGCTACAAGCTCTTTGCTTCCACTGTTTATATGCTTCGGCATATTTTCAACATGCAATTTAAAGAAATGCAATACAAAAACTCGAAAATTATAATAATAATAATAATAATAATCGGCGGCAGGGTGTTGAGCAGGCGGACCCCTGTCAACCAAAACACTACAGCCGAACTTTCAGAGGACACCGAAATACACCAGGGATCCTCCACTGTCGATTGTGTTGTGCAACAAAATGCTGGACCCACACGTGCAGAGAACCGACAAAAAAAGCGCATGAAATGGGATAATAATACCAATAAACAAGTCATGCGATCATATTTTAGAGTAACATCTCTTGAAACTGATCTGACAATGTACAGGCAAAGAATGCATAAAGACTTTACGGCAGCTCTTCCCCATTACAAGCATTTATCAGAACAAAGAATAGCAGACCAAAGACGGGCTATTGTTGCTAGGAACTTACTTCCTCAGTTGGTAATTAATCAGATTAAAGAAGATATCCGTAGAGAGATTTTACAGAGTGGTCCGTCTAACCTGGGTGCCTTTGACCGGGATAACCTCGATATAGATGGGGAGGGCGAGATAAACACCGTAGATGAAGAAGCAGACAATAACTATAAACCTGATGGCCCACAACATGGTCGTACTAATAGCAGTATTGACACCAACACCAACCAATACAGAACTCTAATCCAGAAGAACATAATCCAATATCGCGGCTCAGATCCACTACAAAGACCGCGCATACCTGTGTTACTGTACAAGCCAAACGTTAACCACGTTATCTCAGCTGTAAATCAAGAACTAGTAAAACTGTTAGAACAAGATCCTTCTCTCGAAGATATTCACCTCCTTGTTTACTGCGGTGCAAGAGCAGTCATTGAGGGTAATGGACAGAAAATATATACTAGTAACACCCGGGCTGAAAAGTTCCAAGATATTGGAGAACCTTGGCAGATTCGTCTTAAACGGAAGATTGAGAACCTCAGAAAGCAAATAGGCAAAACACAACAATTGTCAATGGGAAATAATAAACCGCGAATACTTCAAAGCCTACCACCAGCAATCTATTACCAGATTTCGCATTCCAATCCTGCCCAAAAAGATAGTGTCATTCGCGATTACCTTGAGAGTCTTAAGCAGCGATTAGCTGCATTAACCAAACGATTAAAGCGATACAGGGAAAGCCACAAGCGTAAAACAGACAACAAACGCTTCAGACAAAGTGAGAGACAATTCTATAGGGATCTTGATAAAAGTAAAAAGCCCGAGCCTCGAAATGCTCCCACCCCTGAAGCTATACAACAATTCTGGACTGGTATATGGGGCGTGGATACAAAACATAACGAACATCAAACATGGATTGCGGAGGAGACGAGGAAGTACGAAGACAAGAAAATGAATCCAGTAACTTTTTCAGAAAAGGACATTCGAGATACCGTTAGCACACTTGCAAACTGGAGAGCCCCAGGACTGGATGGTGTACATAATTTCTGGTTTAAAAAGTTTTCATCGCTACACGAATATATGGCAACGTGTTTCAACAACATCCTTCAAAAACCAGAAACAATGCCAAAATTTATGGCCAGAGGATATACCTACCTTCTCCCGAAGAATGAAAACTATGATGATCCCTCAATATACCGTCCTATTACTTGCTTACCAACCTTATACAAAATACTTTCAGCTATTATTTCAAACAAGATATTTACTTACCTTGAGTAGAACAACATCTTAACTCCAGAGCAGAAAGGATGCAGGAAGCGAGCAAGGGGATGCAAGGAACAGGCGGCCATAGACGCAGTAGTACTAGAACACTCCAGAAAGAAAAACAGAAATCTTAACATGGCATACATCGATTACCAAAAGGCATTCGACTCTGGCCCTCATACCTGGTTAATGCACGTGCTTAAAATTTACGGAATCAATGAAAATCTTTCAACCTTCTTGAAGCACGCAATGACACAATGGCACACCAAGCTAGTTATTCGCGCCTCCGCTGGAACCGTCGAGACAGAAGATATTAAAATACGTAGGGGAATATTCCAGGGCGATTCGTTCAGTGCCTTATGGTTCTGTATAGCATTGAATCCTCTATCTAATGCCATAAAAGAAACAGGACATGGATACAAATTAAAAGCATCTACTGTAACTGAAACAGTAAACCATTTGTTTTACATGGACGACTTGAAAATATATGCCTCTAACAACACTCAGCTACAAGATCTATTGAAAGTTGTCCATAGTATTAGTCAAGATATTGGTATGACATTTGGTCTTTCCAAATGTCAAATAGTGAATGTTCATAAAGGCAAAGTTGTAAATGCACCTGAAGTAGAGCTCGACGGCATGATTATTTCAGCAATGGGGACCAACGGGGACCCATATAAATATCTGGGATTTCTACAGACAAATAAGATGGAACACAAAAAGATGAAGCAAACTCTTACGAACCAATTTCATGCAAGACTGAAGGCCGTTTTAAGAACTAAATTAAACTCCAAAAACTTAGTGAAGGCTATAAACTCGTATGTAATTCCTATACTTGCATATTCTTTTGGCATTATCGCATGGTCTAAAACTGATCTCGAAGAGCTTAATAGGAATGTTCGAGTACAATTAACGAAACATAGAATGCATCATCCACGTGCATCAAAACATCGGTTCATGCTTCCTAGGCATTTGGGTGGCCGAGGTATTTTAAATATACATAATGTATGTGCCACTGAGATAAAAAATCTTAGAACCTACTTTCATAACCATACTGAAAACCTACACCGTGCTATCGTAAACACTGACGATAACTACACTCCCTTAAACTTAAAGTCAACAACGATACAACCAGAATATCAAAATGTCAAAGACGAGTTGAAAAATTGGGCACAGAAAGAATTGCACGGGAGATTTTACAATGACCTCCAACGAGAAGAAGTTAATAGAGCAGACTCACTATATTGGCTTAAGAATGGTACAATATATCCAGAGACAGAGGGTTTCATGTTAAGTATCCAGGACAATGTTACCAATACGAAAAATCACAGGAAATACATTTTAAGAGAACAAATGTCCAACGACCTCTGCAGGCGCTGCAATGAATGTACTGAAACTGTAGAGCACATATTGTCGGGATGCTCTGTACTGGCTCATACGAAGTACCTTGAAAGGCATAATAGGGTGGCAACTATTGTATACCTTGAATTGTTCAAACTATATAATCTAAAGCCTGTGAGCGAAAACCCTTATTATAAATATGTCCCCGTGCCGGTGGTTGAGAACGATATAGCAAAAATATATTTGGACAAAGATATAATCACGGACAAACGCATGGAGCATAACAGACCAGATATAACAGTTATTCTAAAGCAAGAGAAAAAAGCGTTTTTGATAGATATATCAGTACCGAACAACCACAACCTAAAACAGAAATACACTGAGAAACTTACCAAGTATGCTGAGCTCCGTAGAGAAGTTAAAGCTATGTGGCGGATGGAATCGGTCTTCATCGTACCGGTGATCTTATCCACGATGGGTCTGATACCTACAACATTAAAAGAAAATTTAAAAATAATATCGATACCGTATAACACTTACCATAAAATGCAGAAGTCTGTTGTGCTGGACGCCACCAACATTGTCAGGCACTTTCTGGATTAGGCTCATAGCGCAGCATCTTGCCATGCTGGCCGATCTGCGCCGTATCATAACCAGTAAACTGCGAAATTAAAAGAAAAAAAAAATAATAATAATAATAGCTCCCGTATATAGCGTTTAACGCCTTGGGAGTAGCAAGATACAGCTTTCTATACTAGAGCCGTTCGGTATACAAGGAAGGTAATGTGGCTAGCACTACGCTTCAACCGTCTATTATTACCTCAGGATTGTGAATCTCAAGTACTCATTTAAGGCTGAGTCGACCTAGGTACCCAAACTATTTTTATTTTAATAAAAATAGTCGGCTGATTAAATGCCGTGTGTGGGAATCGAACCCACACCTTGAGATTGGTAGACGAGAGCCTGTGCCTGTACCTCTACGCCACCGGGCACCGAAAATTTAGTTCTCAAAAGAACTGTTTCTGCTTAAAAGTGCAGTTTAAAAAACCTATGAAAATAGGCAAAAAACGAGGATTACTCACAAAGATTCAACAACACGATATTATACAAAATAAAGACTGACATTATGATAATTGTCAAATAATAGACGACAACGTTAACACGGCGCAATGTGACAAAAATAGCGATAATAAAATTCTGTTTAAATTCATTTTTGCAGCTTTAATCTAAATAAAATATCTGTTACAACCATTTGCTCTATAAAGTAAAATGAAGAGCTGCGCGGGTATCTTAATTATATAACAAATTTAAACATTTTGGCCGAAGTTTTATTTAGTCAGGTTTATATAGGCTTTAGTGTCAATTTCGATTTGATTGATGACGTGCATCGGAAAATGTTTTGCAATTACCGTATGTCGACTTTTGAAATTTTTATAGCGATGTTCTGGCATCATTTAAAGGTTTTCGTTTTTTACTGGCGCGGTTTAGATATGTATGCTCTATTATAACATTGTATACAATAAAAGGTTTCTGTATTTACCGTAGGTTGAGTACATTATTCTTAAATAAACTAACAAATCAAACATAGAAATTAGTAGGTACCTATATTATTTTTCTTCAATATTACAGAATCCTTTCTAAATTTAACACGCTGTAGTCTATCGTTTCCAGGATTCAATGGATTTGGATGATATCCTTCCACAAGTTGGTGAATTTGGAACGTATCAAAAACTCATGCTGTGGCTGATATGTCTTCCAGCTTGCTTCCCCTGTGGATTTGGCGCATTTAATCAGTTATTCATGACAGATACACCGGAGCATTGGTGTTATGTTCCCGAGTTACAGAATCTTACAGCTGAAGACAGGAAAGATTTGTCCATACCTCGTACCAATGGGACATTTTCAAAATGTTCTAAATATGCCGTTAATTTTACAACAGTGTTAGAAGAAATTTGGGAATACCCTAGCAATTCGATTAATAGAAGTTTATGGAAGACTGAGGAATGTAGAAATGGTTGGGAGTACAATACGAGTGTGGTACAGTCTAGTATAGTCATAGATGTAAGTATTGTTACACTTTCTGTAATTTTATATAAAGCTATAGGGGTGAGCATTTTTTGAAAATCACCCGGTGTAAAAATGCTTTTAGCACCTCTCCTCTCCTCTATCTCACTCACCATACCCCGAAATATTTAATTGTTCCTTATACTATGCCAGAGCTGCAAGCTTACAGAAAACTTAAGTCTCTTTTTGATGAAATCATTTTAATGACTTAAGTCATTTGATTGTAAGTCATTTTTCGAAAGCTGACTTAAGACTTAAAATTTAAGTCCTTTTCAAAATTATTTGTCGTCTTAAATCTTTTTTTAATGACTTCAGTCTTCTTACAATGGACTTATGTCATTAAAAAGTTTTAAGTCTTTTTATAAAAGGCTCAAGTCAGATTTGTATACCGCTTCTTTCCGACAAAAGTGACACAACTCAAAATTTTGTGATTTTGGGTTTTTCTAACCCATGGCAATAAAAAAGCGCCTTTTTAATAAGCAAAACCGTCCCATTTAATATTAAATAATTCACCGCTAGGTGTCATCTGGACTAACTGTCACTTTTTGAGTATTGGACTATGATTAACGTGGAAGACCGTACCAGTTTTGTTGCGTCAGGGTTGCATCATTCGTGCACGTTGGGTCATATTTTTATGTGAAAAAAGGTCCCAATCCAAAAAGTGCTAGTTTAAACAGAGGTGATACATTTGAAACCCGTAAGAGAGTAAAGGGTCCCAAAACAAAAAGTGACCAAATTGTTTTATAATATTTTCGAGCAAGACTTTTCGGTCATTTGCGGCTTTTTTTCGAGAAAGAAGGTCACTTCTTTTTTTTAATATTAAATACTTAACTTTTTAAAGGCAATAGGTATTAAAAATATACTTAGAACTATACTTATTTACTATAAAACCCCATTTTAAAGATTAGTTAAAAACTGGTTGTGTAAGAAACCATAATGCGATTCAAAAATTTTCAATTGCCTCTACTGTAAAGTTTATTAGTTTTGAGTTGTGTTGCTTTTGACGGAAAGCAGCGGTATATTTTTTTTGGTAATTTTTTAACAGCATCATTCCTTTTTAAACTGTTAGGCGGCAGCCAAGCAGAAAAATAAAAAACAATGCTCAATACCACTAGTAAATAAAACGTTAGTTTTTCGGAACCGGTTTTGATTATTTGTCGCGTTACGCGTACGTAGTGAGTCTGTTGTCTTTCAAGTGAATCCCCGACTCCATTATGTAGCCCGAAAGACGAAGGAAAGAAATTTATCTCAAATATATTGAAGAGTACCTTGAAATCCTCCAGCCCCTTAGCTTATGCCATCGACATATTACATAGTGATCAAAACACATCACCCCTTTGTTTCTTTTTTTAACACAACGACATGCATTAGATGACATCTAAACATCTATGTAATGGATACATATAAAGTACTTCCAAATCGGTTAAATTTTATAAAAAAATTTAACCGTCCTTATTATGAACTTTAATTAATTTATGTGGTTCTAGTCTCATTTATACCTACAATAAAAAAAGAATAAAATCGCCAATAACACCGGTAAAACAAGAAAATGTATATTAATATTTTTTATAAAAAGGTAACAGTTGAGAGTTGGAACCTTTGGTGTTACCCAGCAAAATAAAATCACTAAATCACCACAATACACCAAAACACTTTTACTTTTACACTGGACGCGCGTTTCGCTAACCATGTTAGCATCATCAGCAGATGATTATAAACTAAAGTACAATCTACAAGTTGAGCGTTTATATACTCGCCCAGTGGGCACCGAGTGGGCGTGGCAAGATCTAGCCAACCGAGTCAGAGCCCACTGAGCGTAACAGTTAGATTTCCGCCACTAGAGTAGTAGGAACAAAGAACTTGAAGGAATTGGATCGTTGTCTCTGTTCATACTATCTTTACATTTATTAATTCTGATGCTTTCATATGCATCTAATTGCCTGTAATTTGAGTCTTGGTTAATTAATTTTAAATTATTAAGATCTATACAATGTTCTTTATCAACAATATGTTTGGCAACGCAAGATCTATCCGGTCTACCATATCTTATCTGAGCTAAATGTTCTTTAAATCTAGTTAATATTGATCTTCTAGTTTGCCCAACATATTTCTGATTACAATCTTTACAAGAAATTTCATAAATACCCGACCTTTCCAGTGGAGGTGTTTTATCCTTTGGATTACCTAATAATTGTTGTAATTTATTATTAGCACTATACACAAGTTTATAATTGATATTCTTAAAAATTCCTTTTAGACCACGGGATAACTCTCTATCAAACGTTATCGAAAAATATTTGGACGCATCTTTCTCCACTTGAAAAGTCGAATTTTCAGAAATCATTAACCTATACCTACATTTTCTAATTAATTTATCAACTAGTGAAGGAAAATATCCATTACACTAAGCTACATTTCTAATGTAATCTCTTTCTATTTCATATCTTTCGGTGGAAAGTGGGAAACTAAGTAATCTATGAACTAAGAAATTTAAACTAGCCATTTTATGTTCAACACTATGATGTGATTCATTAGGAATATATCTGCGTGTGGTCGTATTTTTCCTATAGATATCAAATTCCAGGCAGTTATTAGTATTTCTAATAACTAATACATCTAGAAATGGTAAACTGTCGTTGTTCTCAATTTCATGCGTAAATTTAATGGAAGGAAAACGATTATTTAACTTAGAAATAAAATTATCTATGGTGTTTGAATGTGTGTCAAAAACAGCAAAAATATCATCCACATACCTAAACCATACTCTTGGAAAATACTCAAACTGATTCCTAGCCTCCACTTCAAACCTGCTCATGAATAAATTAGCCAAAAATGGAGACAATGGATTACCCATTGCTGTACCTTCCCGCTGTTCAAAAAAGTTGTTATTAAATTGAAAACAATTTTGTTTCATACATAACGGTGTAAGCTCAATATATTCACTCACAGTTTTGTTGTCGTGACCATTTGCGTTCAGTAATTCCTTCAAGTAGCCTAAAGTATGTGGAATTGGAACACTTGGGAACAATGAAGATACATAAAAGGAGACCAAAATTTCACCTTCTTGCAATGTTATATCTTTAATTTTGTTAATGAATTCAATATTATTTTTAACTGAGAAAGAAGCTTCATGATCAGGTAAATTTTCGAACTCCCTTGATAGCCATTTTGCCAAATTATAAGTCGAAGAACCCACAGCCGAAACAATTGGGCGCATAGACTTGTCCGGTTTATGAATTTTTGGCATAGCATATAATTTTGGTAATGAGGGATTGGATACTTGCAATTTCCTCTTTAAAGAAAGATTGTTTTCAATTTAATAACAACTTTTTTGAACAGCGGGAAGGTACAGCAATGGGTAATCCATTGTCTCCATTTTTGGCTAATTTATTCATGAGCAGGTTTGAAGTGGAGGCTAGGAATCAGTTTGAGTATTTTCCAAGAGTATGGTTTAGGTATGTGGATGATATTTTTGTTGTTTTTGACACACATTCAGACACCATAGATAATTTTATTTCTAAGTTAAATAATCGTTTTCCTTCCATTAAATTTACGCATGAAATTGAGAACAATGAGAGATTACCATTACCAGAAATATGTTGGGCAAACTAGAAGATCAATATTAACTAGATTTAAAGAACATTTAGCTCAGATAAGATATGGTAGACCGGATAAATCTTGCGTTGCCGAACATATTGTTGATAAAGAACATTGTATAGATCTTAATAATTTAAAATTAATTAAACAAGTCTCAAATTACAGACAATTAGATGCATATCAAAGCATCAGAATTAATAAATGTAAAGATAGTATGAACAGAGACAACGATCCAATTCCTTCAAGTTCTTTATTCCTACTACTCTAGTGGCGGAAATCTAACTGTTACGCTCAGTGGGCTCTGACTCGGTTGGCTAGATGTTGCCACGCCCACTCGGTGCCCACTGGGCAAGTATATAAACGCTCAACTTGTAGATTGTACTTTAGTTTATAATCATCTGCTGATGATGCTAACATGGTTAGCGAAACGCGCGTCCAGTGTAAAAGTAAAAGTGTTTTGGTGTATTGTGGTGATTTAGTGTTTTTATTTTGCTATAAAAAGGTACTTAAATTGAATTTTGGCTCTCTTGACTTGAGGGTAATTATGTTGATTTAAGTCGTTTTACTGACTTAACTTGCAAATTATCATGATTTAAGTCAGAAATATAGATTTAAGTCATAAAAACGACTTAAATAACCTTATATTGATTTAAGTCTTTACAAAAATGACTTGACTTGAAATAAAATGATTTAAGTCAAAGACTTAAGACTTAAATAATTTGAACTTTATGTTGAATTTGACTTAAGACTTAAATAGGTAATTCTGATTTTAGAAATGACTTAAAACTTAAGTCTTTTTAAAATTGACTTGTTGCAGCTTTGTTTAACACACACCAAACTAAGTGTAAAAAAATAAAAAATGTCTATACCTATGTGGCGGATTCATCTTTCCAAAAAAAATCCTTTATGGGTATTTCGCCACTGCACTGCAAGAAAATCTACAAAATAAAATAATTATTTTTTGTAGACACTTCTGCGTTACACCTAAACGGACGCTGCTTGTCAGAAGTTATGTTTATAGTAATACAAATTTGCCTAACAAAGAAAAAAAATGCTTAACGTTTCGGAAAGTTATCTCTTTCCGTCGTCGGAAGCAAAAAAAATACAAAGAATATAGAAAAAAAACTATTTAAAATATTTAAATTCAACTATTCGGGAACACTTTACTTTTTTAAAACAGATACGTCTACAAGAAACCGTTGACGTTCTGTTAAAAAATAATTTAAGTGGATTTTCCAACTAAACAGGAGAAAATAATATTTTTTTTCAGTTTGATTTAGTTTGCGATAAAGCTATCTATCCCACACTTGGACTTGTTTCCCTTAACCTGGGAGGACCCTTTGGAGTATATTTCTTTGGTTGGTTGAATGACAGGATTGGAAGAAAGAAAACCTTTTTCTTTTGCCTCACCACTTTCATAATTGGAGGCGTTATGACTGCCATTTCACCGGAATTCTGGTGGTGGGCAACGGGTAGATTTGTTATCGGATTAACGATACCAGCAATCTACCAAATCCCATTTATAATATGTAAGTTTATTATTAATAAATATTATACGGGGGTAGTCTGAAATTTTTTCCACCTCAAAAAGATACAACACATTTTTTTAAATACCGGGTGCGTCTCGAAAGTGGCTCAGCCCTGTAACTTTTTTATTTTTTCAGATACAAAAACGAGATTTGGTATGTTAGTATATGACATAAATTAGGATTGATTGACGTATTCAATTGTTTTTGGTCACTTTTTCACCGGAAATGACTACAACTTTTGATTTTTAAATAGCATCCTCGATATATTTCTACTTTACTTGATCGAAAAGAAAAACTTTTATCATTTTCGCTTAAAATGTATGTTTAAAAGGTATATTTTAAATTTCAAGTGCCATGGCTGTCTTTAAAACACTAATTTTTAATCAAGGAGCCTGGGAAAAATAGATTTGATCGTCTAATGTTTTTCGTGTCTTGTCTTGGCCTGTTAAAAGGTGGCGAAATCGAATTTTTAATCATATATCAATTTTTTCTGATAGAACAAGGATGACTCATTTGCATATTTGGAAAAAGCCTTTTTTACGAATTTGGTACCACACCCTTGTTATTTCGAGTAAAATTGTCGTTATGGTTAGGTTTGTCATGTTACAATTTCAAATAAACCATATGCGAAAATATAATGCTTAATATAGTTAAAGAAAGAAAAGTTTCATACCTCGGCCATATCCTTAGAGGAGACTAATATTATATTCCTAAGCTGATTCTACAAGGAAAAATAGAGGGACGGCGAGGCCCAGGAAGAAAACAACATTCCTGGCTAAGAAACATACGGGATTGGTGTAACATCAGCGACGCAGCCACCATATTTCGAAGAGCCGAAAACGGCACTTTACACATTGTATGAAGAGTACAGACAATCGCCAACGTGCGGCTAAGCACAAGGCACAGGAAAAAGAGAAGATATGCGAAAATGTCAAAAGTTGACATATGATATAACATTCTACTCAGGGTGTCATTTTCTATAGAATAAACTAGAAATATACCGGGGGTGTTATTTAAAAATCAAAAGTTGTAGTTCCGGTGAAACAGGAAGTGGCCAAAAACAATTGAATACGTCAATCAATCCTAATTTATGTCATATACTAACATACCAAATCTTTTTTTTTTAACTGAAAAAATAAGAAAATTATAGAGGTGAACCACTTTTGAGATGCACCCGGTATACTCCCCTACCAAAATTTCAAAAGTATCGCATTACCAGTCTTTGTGATAATTAGCCGGATCCAGACTTTTAGCTAACCGAATATAATGTTAAATTTAGAAATTCTTATTATTTGCAAATAACTAAAAAGCATATTCTACATTACTTTTTATTTGCCCCACCCCCCTAAAATCCTGTATCCGCCCCTGATAACCATTAAGAATTTATTTAGAAATTTTTATCAATAGAACTCTCATTATTTCAGCTCTAGAACTGGTTGGACCGAATTACAGGTCCTTCGTCACAGTATTAACATGCCTGTTCTACACAGTTGGTCTTATAATGCTGGCCGGAATTACTTACCTCGTCAGAGATTGGGTATATTTGAACCTAATAACTTCACTACCTTTTGTGCTCTATTATATTTATTGGTTTTACTTGCCCGAGAGTCCAAGATGGTTGCTTGCCAAAGGAAAGTTCGAAGAAGCCTCCACAATATTAGAATCTCTGGCCAGAACCAACAAAAAAGAGTTGCCCTCTAGTTTCAAACAGCAACTGAAACAGAAAATGATGAACAAAGGAAATTTGGACTATGACGATGATACGCCAAAAAACTTGGGATTGTCCGATTTATGTGGAACTCCGAATATGAGATTAAAAACGTTATTGATTACGTTAAATTGGTTCGCAAATAATATGGTTTACGTTGGTTTGAGCTATTACGGACCATCGTTAGGAAGTAACGAATATTTGAGTTTTTTACTATCGTCTGTAGTAGAGTTGCCAAGTTATGTTTCAGCTTGGTTGCTTATCGATAGATGGGGCAGACGATGGCCTTTATGTATATGCATGATTTTGAGTGGACTCAGCTGTATAGCGACAGTTTTAATACCACCTGGTAAGTTATATGTATCTCAAGAATCATCAAATATACCATACGATCGAAAAAAAACGGCGTCAGCGATGGCTATCAAATGACGATCGCTGTCATTTTATATGGTAAATTATTTATTTATTTATTTATTTTAAACTACTCCTTACAAACACCAAAAGAATAGTTGTTACAGATAAGGGACTTAAATCTAAATTAATTAACTTAACAAAACTAAAACTACTGTACAATGAATGCAATAAGAAAAAAAAGTAGTTGAATTGAAACTAAAATATACAAAGTAAAAAAACAAAAATGTGCAGATATCTCACTTCACTGTGGTGAAGGAGGTATGATTTAGGATCTTATTTATTTCTTTTACATTTGTATGGAAAATATCTATATTAAACTGACTTAACACTGCATTACATTCGTCCAGGATGTGGCGCATATATGAACTGACCGTATAGATATTAAATGCTTTATTTGAATTTGTTGTGCGACGTAGGCTGATTTTTGGGACATGAAATTTGATATTATTTATTAGATCTGAATTATTGAGTTTATAATTATTTATTATATTATACAGGGTGTCCCAGAAATGAGTGCAGATATTTTAAGGGGTGGTAGATCTAGTCAAAATAAACATATTTTCTCTTTACCATTTTTAAAATAAATTGAAAATAACCGAGTTATTTAACTTTGAAAATTTAAAAAAATAATCGCAACATTTTGAGAACCGCCGGCAGATATCGCCAACTACATGCAATTACCCGGATCAAGCCCGGATTTCAGTTAATTCGACGCACTGTGTTGCCATATGGACAAGAAAGTATATGTTAAAAGTAAGTCATAAAATCACAACACCTAAGGAGTTTGCAGAGATGCATTACATTTTTAAGATTGTGATATTATTACATAAAATAAATTGAAACTTAAATGTTCAAAAGTTAAAAAAGTTAAATTAAAAAACTTACCCAATATTAAAAAAAAGATACTTATGGTAACTGTGGCAGTTCTCTTTTTCGATATACACTTAACTAAAATACACTTCACTGTGCTGCTTTACTTGTACATGGTATTATAATAATTGCTAAAATAACAGACCCATTTTTAACACATTATTTTCATATAGGCCTCATCACAATTTGAACCACTGATTTACAAAACACCTTGAAAAGCACACATTACTTTGAATATCTTTTTGAATACCGAACTACTTTCAATCTAAGAAAATACATGTTTTACTCAACAATTTTAAATACGTATTTTGTTTTTTCGCTATTTTTTCTATGTATTTCGACAATTCCATCGACAGCCCAACCGTCGCGTCGGCCAAGAGAACCACGCATAACTGGTAACTGCTCCTTTGTCGCGCCGCCGTGTCGAGCTTGCCTCATGCGAGGTTGCCGTAGTTTCAACAATATCAAATTCAAGACACTCGAAGCAATCAAATTCTTATTAAATTTTAAAAATAAAACAGAAAAACATGAAATGAAACAAACAAAACACAAATGAATTGGTTATTGATAAGGTCACAAAAAAGAAATTTCTAAAATGTTTATCGTAATTCAGAATTCAATATATCGAAAACAGCCCGACGAATAATCAATTCATTTTTGTTTTGTTTGTTTCCTTTCATGTTTCTCTGTTTTATTTTTAAAATTTAATACGAATTTGATTGCTTCGAATGTCTTGAATTTGATTGTAACTACGGCAACGTTGCTTAACATCGTCGTCTGACGCAAGCCCGCCACGACGGCGCGGCGACCGACGACTCAAAGGACCAGTTCACACGCGGAACTCTTGGCTGACGGTTAGGCTGTCGATGGAATTGTCGAAATACATCGACAAAATAGCGAAAAAATAAAATACGTATTTAAAATTGTTGAGTGAAACATGTATTTTCTTGGCGAAGTTTTCTTAGCTTAAGTGGCGATAAGAGACAATAATTTTCAACATTTATTCATTCATAAAGGTATTCAAAGTAATGTGCGCTTTTCAAGGTGTTTTGTAAAACAGTGGTTCAAATAAAACAGAGAAACATGAATGAAAACAAACAAAACAAAAATGAATCGATTATTCGTTGGCCTGTTTTCTAAATTTCTTGAATTGAATTTTAAATCACTATAAACAGTGGCGGATACAGAGGGGGGGCCCATGGGGCCCGGGCCCCCCCTAAAATTTATAAATTGGGCTAAATATTAGGCTTTTGGGTTAAAAATGGCGCCTTAAAAATCAAATTCTACATTACTTTTTATTTGGGCCCCCCCTAAAATAAATTTCTGTATCCGCCCCTGACGATAAACATTTTAGGAATTTCTTTTTTGTGACCTGATTGTGAATAATATAAATCATTTTATTAAATTTATTCCAAAATAAAGTTATTTTGCAGCATAACAAAGATTTTCGTAAACGTCATAAACGTAATGTTTTAGTTAATTTTCGGATGTTTTTGTTAAGTTTTCATTGAAAGAGTAAGTAGTAAAAATAATTAATGTGATTTTTTTCTATAATTATTAATAATGAGCACTGATAAAAGATTAAATTTAACATTCCTAATTTTTTCAGTAGAAATTTGTCTATGAATTTATAAATGTAGAACTATGTTCCGCCGAACTATGTAGAATGTGGATAACATAGGAGGTTGCAACACTGCAAGGTTTAGATACACCGTAGGGAAATCTCAGGTGAATAAACAAGTGGCACTAAAAAGTTTTTTCATATTTCCCGGAAAATGCCAAGAAAAAATTTAAATTTTCAACATTTTTTTTTCGCAAAAAAAAAACTCATAGGCGTATTTCTGGGGTTGAACTATACTACCAGTTAAAATATTTTCACTTATTTCTGGGACACCCTGTATAATATTAATAAACATTGCACGATTCTTCGGGCGTGTAGATCCTGGAAGTTGAATGAGCTTAACATATTTTTATATGATACTAACTGGACGCCGTTTTTTTTTTCGATCATACGGTACTACTTCAAAAATACAACTGGTGTTCTACTAAATCGGAACGAATATTCGAGCTTCCATTGTTTTTATTTGATTTAACTTACACGTTTCTGTCAGATTATTCACTGGCCGTAATATGTATACAGGATGTCCCAGGCTGAGCGTGCATTAGTAGATTCTAGAGTACTACACGAGTAACTACAATATTTATATCGGAGATGTTTTGACCGTCATTGTTTCACAACGAGGTCTATCGATTAAAAATATTTTCAATATGGCGGCAATTCCGGAAATACCGGAAGTTGACAGCAACTTTCTTATTTTAAATGGATACCCCCATTTTTTATTATACAGGGTGTCCCAGAAATAAGTGCAAATATTTTAACTGGTAGTATAGTTCAACGCCAGAAACACGCCTATGAGGTTTTTTTTTGCGAAAAAAAAATGTTGAAAATTTAAATTTTTTCTTGACATTTTCCGGGAAATTTGAAAAAACTTTTTAGTGCCACTTGTTTATTCACCTGAGATTTCCCTACGGTGTATCTAAACCTTGCAGTGTTGCAAACTCCTATGTTATCCACATTCTACATAGTTCGGCGGAACATAGTTCTACATTTATAAATTCATAGACAAATTTCTACTCAAAAAATTAGGAATGTTAAATTTAATCTTTTATCAGTGCTCATTAATAATTATAGAAAAAAAAACACATTAATTATTTTTAATAATTACCCTTTCAATGAAATCTTAACAAAAACCACCGAAAATTAACTAAAACATTTACGTTGATGACGTTTACGAAAATCTTTGTTATGCTGCAAAATAACTTTATTTTGGAATAAATTTAATAAAATGATTCATATTATTCACAATCAGGTCACAAAAAGAAATTCCTAAAATATTTATCGTAATTTAGAATTCAATTCAAGAAATTTAGAAAACAGTCCAACGAATAATCGATTCATTTTTGTTTTGTATGTTTTCTTTCATGTTTCTCTGTTTTATTTGTACTTTCATGTACCACTGTTTTACGAAACACCTTAAAAAGCGCACATTACTTTGAATACCTTTCTGAATGAATAAGTGTTGAGAATTATTGTCTCTTACCGCCACTTTACGAACTACTTTCAATCTAAGAAAATACATGTTTCACTCAACAATTATTGACAACGTATTTTGTTTTTTCGCTATTTTTTCGATGTGTTTCGACAATTCCTTCGACAGCCTAACCGTCAGCCAAGAACTGCCGCGTGTGAACTGGTCCTTTGAGTCGCAGGTCGTCGCGCCGTCGTGGCGGGCTTGCGTCAGACGACGATGTTAAGCAACGTTGCCGGAGTTACAACAATTTCAAATTCAAGACATTCGAAGCAATCAAATTCGTATTAAATTTTAAAAATAAAACAGAGAAACATGAAAGGAAATAAATAAAACAAGAATGAATTGATTATTCGTCGGGCTGTTTTCGATGTATTGAATTCTGAATTACGATAAACATTTTAGAAATTTCTTTTTTGTGACCTTATCAGTAACCAATTCATTTGTGTTTTGTTTGTTTCCTTTCATGTTTTCCTGTTTTATTTTTAAAATTTAATAAGAATTTGATTGCTTCGAGTGTCTTGAATTTGAAATTGTTGAAACTACGGCAACCTCGCTTGACGCAAGCTCGACACGGCGGCGCGACAAAGGAGCAGTTAAGGTTGTCGCCCACTAGACCGCAGCGCGACGCGGCGCGGCACCATGTAGAAATTTCTTTTGTCTGCTTGCCATGTATTTAAATGGACCAACGTACATCAGAGCGCGCAGCGCCGAAGCGCGCAGCGCCGAAGCGCGCCGCGGGATTTCCGTCAAGAAGTCGGAAGACTTCTCTAGCAACTTTTTTCCGTCTCCCGCGTTTCGGCGTGTTGCAGTGTGCGTACTCACAACGGAAATAATTTTGCATTCGAGTCTTTTCAGTTGGCTTTTTGACTAGGAACTAGTGATACGTATCAATGGTAGAATTGTATTTTTAAAGGTAAATTAGGCAAATCGATTTTCATAAAGGAATATGATATTTTTTTTAGTCTCCCCTCAC